AGGGGCATCCTGTGGGGGACGCTCCAGGAGTATGGGGTGGGTGGCTTTCTGTTAAGGGCCATTCAGTCCCTTTACCAGAGGAGCGTGAGTTTGGTCCGCATAGCCGGTAGTAAGTCGGACCTGTTCCCAGTGAGGGTTGGACTCCGCCAGGGCTGCCCTTTGTCACCGGTTCTGTTCATCACTTTTATGGACAGAATTTCTAGACGCAGCCGTGGTGTGGAGTGTGTCGAGTTTGGTGGCAGGAGAATCTCGTCTCTGCTTTTTGCGGATGATGTGGTCCTCCTAGCTTCATCCAGCTCTGACCTTCAGCTCTTGCTGGGTAGGTTCGCGGCCGAATGTGAAGCGGCTGGGATGAGGATCAGCACCTCCAAATCTGAGACCATGGTTCTCGGCCGGAAAAGGGTGGCTTGCCACCTCCGGGTCGGGGGAGAGGTCCTACCTCAAGTGGAGGAGTTTAAGTATCTCGGGGTCTTGTTCACGAGTGAGGGTAGGAGGGATCGGGAGATCGACAGGCGGATTGGTTCGGCGTCTGCAGTGATGCGGATGCTGAGCCGATCTGTCGTGGTGAAGAGGGAGCTGAGCCAGAAAGCCAGGCTCTCGATTTACCGGTCGATCTACGTCCCAATCCTCACCTATGGTCATGAGCTTTGGGTAATGACCGAAAGAACGAGATCGCGGATACAAGCGGCCGAAATGAGTTTCCTCCGTAGGGTGGCCGGGCTCAGCCTTAGAGATAGGGTGAGGAGCTCGGACATTCGGGAGGGACTCGGAGTAGAACCGCTGCTCCTCCGGATCGAAAGGAGCCAGTTGAGGTGGTTTGGGCATCTGGTCAGGATGCCTCCTGGACGCCTCCCCGGGGAGGTGTTTCGGGCATGTCCTGCCGGCAGGAGGCCCCCGGGTCGACCCAGGACACGTTGGAGAGGTTACATCTCCAATCTGGTCCGGGAACGCCTTGGGGTCCTGCCGGAGGAGCTGGTGGACAAGGCCGGGGAGAGGACGGCCTGGAGCTCCCTAGTTGGGATGCTGCCCCCGCGACCCGGACCCGGATAAGCGGAGGAAGACGAAGACGAAGACGAAAGAGAAGAGGCCTGTCTGACCAAGAGAGACAAACTAACCCTGACCAGCATCCCACAGGTACCTTTAACGGCATCTGACCGGCACTAAGTGACCACGTGTAGAGGAGGTCTGACAGCCAAGTACGTGCTGAGGCTAACCCTAACCCATATATTATTCAGAAAAAACGTGTTCTCAACAAAACCTTTCAGCAAAGCTGCGCACTTCCATATGGCTAAATGAAGCTAACTGAAACAGTCTACAAAAACCTGCTAAAGCACCAGTGTTTATGAAGTTAAGATGAATGTGCAGAAATTTTAACAGAAGCAATTAATTGATGGAAAAAACATGCAAAGTTTAACAAAACTCAGGCAGATGAACATGCAAACTAAAGAAGCTTTATTTAAAAAAAAAAGACCATTTTTGTTTAAATGAGCATCAGATGCAGCAAAGATTGTTCCCCAAAGATTTTTGTGTGTCAGAGTGAAATTTGGACACAAAAGAGGAGAAAACCCCAGAAGATTTCAGAGTTTATGAGCAGACTGTATGGATAGCTGCAACGTCACCATTAACTATGGCCATTTCATCACCCTTAGCACATATGCATTTAATAATGCTACTTTAGTGTTTCAAAGCATCACTTTTCAGGGGAAGACTTTGTTACCAAGGCAACAACGTGCACCGCTCAGCAAGCAGACGTCCTGACGGGTTATGTTAGAGCAGCTGTGTGTCGATGCAATAAGCCACAATTTACACACAAACCGATCAGCCGACTGATTTCAAAAACAATTGGTGACCAGTCAACCACCAAAGCAAACATTTGTGGCAGCCTGGCTTCCACGTATAAAAAAGTACACATTTGGTGCATTTCCTCATGAAAAATGTAATATTTGGTGTTTCCAGTTGTCATCGCCCAGTGAGGTCCACGTTTGGGCGGCTCAGACTTAAAGATCACTGGGCGCTATGGCTGTCAGCATTAATGATCAAATCTCTGACTAACGAGCCTTGCAGGCCATCCTATAATGTGGCCACGAGCCACTGAAACAGCTCACTCAGGGGCAGACTCCACAGCAGGAGTGGGGAACCCTGGTCCTCGAGGGCCGGTATCCTGCACGTCTTTGCTCCAACACTTCTTGTTCAGTGGTTAAATCACCTGTTCAGCAGCTCATCAGGCTCTGCAGAAGCCTGTTAATCACCTGCTGATTGAAATCAGGTGTGTTGAAGCAGGGTTGAGACTAAAACATGCTGGATGGTGGCCCTCGATGGCCAGGGTTCCCCACCCCTGCTCCACAGTTGTCTCCTCACACAATTGGACAGCGCTAGGACCAATCAGAGCAAAGCGACGGCTCGTCTGGATTTCTGGGCAACAAACTAACAGGAATTTAAGCATAATCAGATTTAATCCCTCTGAGATAAACTCATCAAATGACTGCATTTCTACGTTAAATAGGGAGAAAACAGAGCAGGAGGAGCGAATGAGTCCAAGTCTGACAGGACAACAGACAGAAGACAAACACCAGCTGCCAGAGTTGTACCTACTTTGTAGGGCTGCAGGTATGCAACGCCTTCAAGTGAGGCTTCCAGGTAGCAACGGAAACCGAGTTCTCATCAGCCGCATAACTACGCCAAACACACTGCATGCAGAACACAAAGAGAAGATTCCCCCAAAACATATAATTAGAAGAAAAAAATCAAATCAAGACTCGAGAGGACACGAGGAGAGGACAAAAACAGCTGATTAGTAAAACAAACAAACAAAAACTGATGTTTGATGCGTCTGTGGGCGGGCGGAGGCCAGGCATGGATACATGCCTGAAGGGCGGCAGGCGGCGCTTGTACTGCCGCCATGTGGCGTCCAGGTCGGGCCTGGTGCTGTCGGTGGAGTAATAACGCCACGCAGCCTGGGGCGACGTGAGGACACACAGGATGAAGAGAAGGAGGAAGCGAGGACAGAGTGAAGAAGATGAGAGTTTAAATAAAAACAACAGTCTGGGATTCAAACGTCTCCAGCTGAGTGAGGATGAGGAGGAAGAGATGATGATATTTTCCGTTTAGTTTGATGGTTTCAACGAATCAACAACAAAGATGAACAAAACAAGGAAGAAAACGAGGAGTCAAATCTTTGAAGCGTTTTTTAGACTGAAGTGGTTCCAGAACTGGTCCGTGTTGGTTCTGATTCTCCTGCCCCAAATGAAGCAGGATACTCAAACATGCCAGATTCTGGCTCTGAACTGGTAGTGGAACCACTTAGTTAAAAAGCAACCGAGTTGGTTGTGTTTGAATAACTGCAGAACAGGTTTACCTGGATCAGGTAGGCGGCCGGGTTCCTCCTCTTCTCAAAGTGTTTCTGTCGGTGCTGCTCCTGGACCTTCAGGGCGAAGCCTGAGCCCAGAATCCCCTGGAGACATCAGTGACTTTCAAGGTTTTCTCTTAATGTTCCTACGAAGAGAATTAAAACTCTCCACCGGGACTAAGCTGCTCTAACGTTTTTCTTTGGATTCTTACCACATTTGCATTTTTTATTCTAACTCATCCAAACTGATGATAATAAGCACCTTTTATTTATGTTTTGTGTCTCAGAGGAGTCTGGCTGAGACCAAAAGTCAAGCAAATGCAGAAGTGACTAAACTGCAGTTCCCCCTCATCCTCTAGGGGCTGGCTCTCAAGAGGAGCAGGTTCCCATTGGCTCCTACGTTAAAAGGCCAGCTTCACATTAAAAATACATAGAAGTTCACAGCCTGGTACTAGGGGCTGCATGACTTAATTTTTAATGAAAATCGAGTCGACTTTGACTAGTCGTTCATGACGTCATACACATGAAGCAGCCGGGGGGGTCGGTTGGTTCTAACAACAGCAGTTTCTGCATCTCGCTTCAACCCTGCCCCCCCCTCTCCCCCCTCCCCCTCCCCCTGCTTCAGCCCTCTCCCCCCTCCCCCTGCTTCAGCCCTCTCCCCCCTCCCCCTGCTTCAGCCCTCTCCCCCTGCGCAGCAGCCGCAAACTCACTGATGCGCCTGCAGCCTCTCAGAGTTCCTGCTGCTCTAAACATTAATATAATTATTTCATTTTCTGTTCCTCACTTCTGATTACCTTCAATGGTGTCTGTTTGTTGCAACCAGCAGGTACAAAACTAGCTTGTTTTTATTTGACTATTTTTCTGTCCTGTCTGTTTATTATCTTCCTGCATCTCCTCTCAGTCCTAAAGAGAAACTGCTACCTGGGTTCATATATATTCACCTCATGAGTTACCTTTGAACTGCAGTTCTAAAAGATCTACCGACCGCTAAAACAGCGGAGTGCTCGCCGGCCCCATCAGTGATCGGTGCGTCACCGAGGACAAAACAGGTGATGCGCCCCGATCCACAGCAGCGAAACGCATCAGGCACAAATAAAAGAATAAAAGACAGAAAACATAAAAGGAAATGAGCCGACATGAACGACCGCGTGTTACATTAGTTTTTGAGGTGGCGACACCTGATGTGATAATGTTACTGTGGCCGTGCTCAGGACGCAGATGTCTGGAGCGCGTCAACAATCAGAGCTTTGCATGCGCAAGCTGGTTAAGGTTAGGATGGGAGTGAGGGGAAGGTTAAATTGCAAGAGGGTAAAGGTCACAATTTGGTTAAATGTCCGTTTTACGGCGGGTGTCAGTACCGACGCTCTGGCACAGCGCGTTGCCTCCCGACGCGCAGGAGCTTGTCACCTGCTGACAGCAGGCTGCTGTCTTTTCCCAGGACTGCATCTTGCCGGTCATTATCATGTGACAGCGACTAGTCGATGACAGGCATAACAAGTCACTATAGAGCGGTGAAGTCGACTAGTGACTAGTTCATACAACCCCTACCTGGTACAAAAACAAATTCAGATTTAATAGGTCTAGTTTACCGTCATAACTCTGACGGGGGTTCTGACGTAGTTATAACTTGAATTTTTGAATAATTAGGGGCGTGTCCTTTTGATTGACAGGTAGCAGATTATGTATATGTTTATGTATGTAGCAGATGCTTTTGTCCAAAGCAACTTACAAGTGATGATGAAGCCAGCAGGTTGTTATTGAGGCTAACAACAAACACTAGTCAGTCAATCCTAGGTGGCAGCGAGGCAGCAAAATGAATCCTAAAGGGAAGTGAACAAGGAGTGGATAGTAGAGTGGGGGACGTGTGCAAAAGCTGGGACTTCAGGAGTTTCTTGAAAATAAACAAGGAGTCCCCTGTTCTGTTAGTTCTTGGTAGATTATTCCACATCTGTGGAATGACATGAAAAGCCCAAGGCGCTCTCTGGCCAGCCGAGAGACATAGTCCCTCCAACGTGTCCTGGGTCTTCCCTTGGGTCTCCTCCCAGTAGGACGTGCCCGGAAAACCTCATCAGGGAGGCGTCCAGGAGGCATCCCAACTAGATGCCCACACCATCTCAACTGGCTCCTCTCGACGTGGAGGAGCAGCACATCTACGCTGAGCCCCTCCCGGATGACTTGGCTTCTCCCCCTATCTGGGAGAGCCCAGCCACCCTGAGGAGAAACCTCATTATGGCCGCTTGTATCCGTGATCTCATTCTTTCGGTCACCACCCAAAGCTCGTGACCAAAGGTGAGGGTAGGAACGTAGATCGACCGGTAAATCGAGAGCTTCTCCTTCCGGCTCAGCTCTCTCTTCACCACGGCGGACCGGTACAACACCCGCATCACTGCAGACGCAGCACCAATCCGCCTATCGATCTCACGCTCCAGCTTTCCCTCACTGGTGAACCAAACCCCGAGATACTTGAGACAGGACCTCGTCCCTGACCTGGAGAAGACATTCTAACCTTTTCTGACTCATTACATGCAAAGCAAAAAATTACAGCTTATGAAAACCACTAGTGTACTTTTTTATGCTGAGAACTGTGTGTACTCAGTACTTGGACTGGGCCCCTTTTCCCTTTACTGAAATAAAAGAGCTTTTGCATCATTATCAAATTCTTCTAGTGTCACCAGCATGTTAAAAGAGGAAAATGAATATTTTAACTAATCAGCTGACTCACTGCTGGCAAAGCGAAGAAGGAGATTCCGAGGAGGGCGAAGCCTGCAGACAGCATCCGCCCCGTCCACGTCTTCGGGGTTTTGTCTCCGTAACCGATGGTCGTCAGTGTGATCTAGATTTAAACATAATTTATTGTTAACAGCACTTTAAACAGGAAACACATTTTAAAGTACGTCCCTTTTAAGCAAATCGTTTACTTTTCAGAACCATTTCTTTCTAAAATGATGAAATTCAAACAGGCTCATGCTGATGTTGTTTTATAACCCTCATCTCTTTGAGGAGGTGTTTTATTTGATCAGGCGACATGTCGCTGACCTAATGAACTCGTCTCTGATGTCCAGCTCCGTCCCAGCTGTCGCTAACCACTTCTGATGGCATCTGAATCAATCTGGTTCAACGTTTGGGTCCAGTGTTAAGCTCCTATGTTAATTAAAGGTAATGTGAAAAACTGAGGATGTTATTTTGATTTTATTTTGTTGATTTTCTTTCTATAATGAATTATTTTAGGTCTTGAAATGAAATATTTTTGGTTTAGAGAATTTTTGGTGAAACTTTTCATCGGTATGGAATGATTTTACCATTAAAGCACGTAAAAATGTAAAGATGAACTCAACGGTCAAATACTCATGAACCTCTTTGAGCTCTCATTGGTTTACTAACCCAGGTTTGTAACTGGCCAATTTAAATTTGTGGTTGGTAAATAAAGTGATCTTTCCCTTCAGGTGTCTCCACAGTCAATCATTTGTCTCCATTTAGTCCCATCTTCTGCATCCTCATACCAACTAACTTCATGTCCTCTTTCATCACATCCACTAATCTCCTTTTGGTCTTCCTTAGCTTTCTGCCTGGTGGCTCACACTTCAGCATCCTTCTACCAGTGTAATCATCATCTCTCCTCCAGGCATGTCCAAACCATCTCAGTCTGGCCTATTTGACTTCATCTCAAAACACCTAACATGAGCTGCCCCTCTGATGGACTCATTCCTGATCCTGTTCATCACTCCTAAAGAGAAGATCAACATCTTCAGCTCTGCCAACTCCAGTTTTGTCTCCTATCTTCTCCTCATGGACGCTGTCTCTAAACCAGACAACATGGCTGGTCTCATTACTGTCTTATATACCTGAATTCCTTTTACCACACGTCACACCGACACTTCTCCACCCATTCCAACCTGCATCATACGCTTCTTCTCCTTTTTTCCACACTCTTTGTTGCTTTGGACCCTAAGTACTTAAAGTCCTCTACCTTCTTTACTTCTGCTCGCTGTAACATCATGGGTTCAGTTGTTTACACACACAATCTGTCTTTATTTCTCTCTTTAGCTTTTGCTCTACCTGTACCCTTCTCTCACTGCAGATCACAATGTCATCTGCAAACATCAAAGTCCACGGAGACTCCTGTCGAACATCTGTCTGTGGTTAAAATGAACAACGTTACTAACAAAGTTAGTTTTTTAATTGTTTGTGGCAGCCTTGTAATCAAATCAAAAACTTTCTCTGTCGTGATGACACCATTTCCATTACTGACGGGGCGCAGGTGTGTTGAAGCTGTCATAAAAGAGCAGCACTAAAACCCAAACTCTGGCTTTTTGCCCAAAATTTGTCTATTTTCAAAATGCTTGGAAAGTCCCTTGAAATATTAATCTGCTTCAGAAGAAGAAATGATTCAAAGACTCAATGTGTTTCCAACACTGATGAGTAAGAATACCATAAAAACAAAATATTTATTTAGCAAAACTTAGATTTAAAGACAATTAGCAAATAAAACCATTTATATGTTCCCTGAAAACATGGAAAAATAAAACATTAAAGAGACAATGTGTAGTTTTTACCAATGATTTCTGGAAATATCCATCAAAATGTTGTTGAAAATGAATGAATTGATGCTCAGTTGTCAAAAATATTGGCAGTTTCATAACATATAACCATAAAAATCAGGTCTAAAATACATGGGAGCAGGTCTACGTCTCTGGGCGATGCCATATTAGATGCCTTGTTTCCTTCTACGGGAGCCTGTGAGGACAAAATGCCTTTACTGGTTTGCTGTAACAAACGGTTACAAAACCTTTGTCATTCTTGAATGTTGTTGTTTTACACATTAACCTCTTCACTTGTTGCCAGTGATGTGCTTGTTATTTTGCTAAAGTTTGCACTCCCCAGGCCTTTTTGACCCTAATGGGCATCCGTTAGTAAGGTCTTACTCCAACACAAAAATACTGCTTGCTTGCAATGATTTAGGCATCTACTGCCCCCTATCGCCAGAAAAAATACACACTGTCACTTTAAGTAGAGCAAATTAAGGTCTCAGAGCAGAAAATGGTTTCTAAGATTAATCTGTTTATCCAAAATGTATCGGCTAATCTGTTCATCCATCCACCTTGCAGTTTTAAAGATGGTAGATTATTTTCTACCATGATTGTCGATCAACGATTTTTTAGCTTGACATTTATCCAGAGACAGAACGTTTTCAGAAATCTGGAATAAAAAAAAAACATTCTGTTTTGTAAAAACTGGATCTCGGGATTCATTGGGATGCTCAGAGATTTTAGTGAAACCTTAAACTCACCGTTCCCCACCACAGAGCATCGGCGTAGGTGGCAAACTCCTTGTTGATCTTGTTCTCCACAAGGTAGACGAGGAATGATGAGAAGATCAGAACTAAAAACCCGATGTACCAGGCAGTCACCAGTTCCTGCAGGCAGACAGGCGCCAAAGTTCAAATAAAGTTCTAATTAACTGGAATTATTTTGAAAAATCAGCGTCTCACCTGCAAGCATTCAAGAGAGAGACATATTTATATAATTATTTATTAACCTAAAGCTGCTATAACAAACAAGCTAGGTTCTGAATCGAACCACAGTCACAGAACACTCAGCCTTCCCCTCGGGTGTTTTCCCTGGTTCCGCATCCACCGGAAATGAAAACCCACATTGCTAGAGGAAAAGAAATAGAGCTAAACACCAGTCGCTGTTAGTCGTCGTCGTCTTCTTCCGCTTATCCGGGTCCGGGTCGCGGGGGCGGCATCCCAACTAGGTAGCTCCAGACCGTCCTCTCCCCGGCCACCTCCACCAGCTCCTCCGGCAGGACCCCAAGGCGTTCCCGGACCAGATTGGAGATGTAACCTCTCCAACGTGTCCTGGGTCGACCCGGGGGCCTCCTGCCGGCAGGACATGCCCGAAACACCTCCCCAGGGAGGCGTCCAGGAGGCATCTTGACCAGATGCCCAAACCACCTCAACTGGCTCCTTTCGAACCGGAGGAGCAGCGGTTCTACTCCGAGTCCCTCCCGAATGTCCGAGCTACTCACCCTATCTCTAAGGCTGAGCCCGGCCACCCTACGGAGGAAACTCATTTCGGCCGCTTGTATCCGCGATCTCGTTCTTTCGGTCATTACCCAAAGCTCATGACCATAGGTGAGGATTGGGACGTAGATCGACCGGTAAATCGAGAGTCTGGCTTTCTGGCTCAGCTCCCTCTTCACCACGACAGATCGGCTCAGCGTCCGCATCGCTGCAGACGCCGAACCAATCCGCCTGTCGATCTCCCGATCCCTCCTACCCTCACTCGTGAACAAGACCCCGAGATACTTAAACTCCTCCACTTGAGGTAGGACCTCTCCCCCGACCCGGAGTTGGCAAGTCACCCTTTTCCGGTCGAGAACCATGGTCTCAGATGTGGAGGTGCTGATCCTCATCCCAGCCACTTCGTACTCGGCCGCGAACCTACCCAGCAAGAGCTGAAGGTCAGAGCTGGATGAAGCTAGGAGGACCACATCAGAGACGAGATTCTCCTGCCACCAAACTCGACACACTCCACACCACGGCTGCGCCTAGAAATTCTGTCCATAAAGATAATGAACAGAACCGATGACAAAGGGCAGCCCTGGCAGAGTCCAACCCTCACCAGGAACAGGTCCAACTTACTACCGGCTATGCGGAGCAAACTCACGCTCCTCTGGTAAAGGGACTGGATGGCCCATAACAGAAAGCCACCCACCCCATACTCCTGGAGCGTCCCCCACAGGGTGCCCCTGGGGACACGGTCATAAGCCTTCTCCAAATCTACAAAATACGTGTGGATTGGTTGGGCTAACTCCCATGCCCCCTCCATCACCCTTGCAAGGGTATAGAGCTGGTCCACAGTTCCATGACCAGGACAAAAACCACATTGCTCCTCCTCAATCTGAGATTCAACTCCTGCAGAGCTTTGACCACGTCCCGAGAGCAGTGGGGGACATTGACTCCGAGTGGGCTTTGTTCCACTCTGCAATTGTTGAGGCGGCTGTTGCTAGCTGTGGTCACAAGATGGTCGGTGCCAGTCGTGGTGGCAACCCCCGTACCCGCTGGTGGACACCAGAGGTTCGGGGAGCCGTCAGGCTGAAGAAGGAGGCCTACAGGGCATTGCTGGTCTGTGGGTCTCCGGAGGCAGCAGACAGGTACCGGATAGCCAAGTGGGGTGCAGCAGTGGCAGTTGCCGAGGCAAAATCTCGGGCGTGGGAGGAGTTTGGTGAGGCCGTGGAGAAAGACTATCGATCGGCTCCAAAGAGGTTCTGCCAAACTGTCCGGCGCCTCAGGAGAGGAAGGCAGCAACTCGCTCGCACTGTTTACAGTGGGGATGGGGAGCTGCTGACGTCAACTGGGGCTATAGTCAGATGGTGGAAGGAATACTTTGAGGAGCTCCTCAATCCCACCTACACACATTCCGAGGAGGAACCAGAGCCGGGAGACCGGGGGATGGACTGTCCGATCTCGGGGGCAGAAGTTGCTGAGGTAGTCAAACAACCACACAGCGGTGGAGCCCCGGGGGCGAATGAGATTCCTCCTGGGTATCTCTAGGCTATTGATGTCCAATCCAATCCAATCCAATTTTATTTATAAAGTGCATTCACATGGCATTACAACCAAACAAGGTGAATGTTAGTTAATTAAACCGGCGTTATACAAACATGTCGAACACAGATAAAAGATAAAAAGGAAATACAACAAAATTCCCAAAAATAACAGCTAAAAATCAATAAGACACAGGATGAATAAAAAATTAGAAAAACATTTTAAAAAAGAACCTCAATAGTACGGAAGTCGATAATTGTGGAGTCCATTTTTAAACAGTGCAGATGTCAGTGAGGTCCATAATTATGTGGTATAAGCTAGGTTGAAGTAGTGAGTTTTCAGGCGTGATTTAAAAATGCTAGCTGTTGGTGCTAGCCTCACTAGCAGTGGTGATGCGTTCCACAGCTTCGGTGCACAGACAGAGAAAGCCCTCTCTCCACGGCTTTTTAAACGTGCATTGGGAACAGCTAGGAGGAGCTTATCTTCAGACCTGAGAGCACGCGGCGGGTTGTAGTAATGGACAAGTTCACACAGATATGGAGGAGCTTGATGGTTCAAGGATTTGTAAGTCAGAAGCATAATTTTGAAGTTTATCCTGAACTGCACGGGCAACCAGTGGAGAGATTTCAGAATTGGAGAAATGTGTTGTCTTCTGTCAGCTCCAGTCAGCAACCTAGCTGCTGAATTCTGGACCAGCTGAAGTCTAGAAAGAGCTGCTTTACTGATGCCGTATAAGCAGGAGCATAGGCGTCATTTTAACCGGGGACGCCGGGGACATGTCCCCGGCAAAATTTGTGATTGGCAGCTGTGTCCCCCCCACTTTCAAAAAAGCCTGCTGATGAGGATTTTTGTTTTACCAGCTCAGATCTTATACCAGGGGTCGGCAACCTGTTCCCATCAAAGAGCCATTATTACCCGTTTCCCACAGTAAAGAAAACACCGCAGTAGCCGCAGCGTTGCGGGCGGGGCCTACCCTCAGACAGCAGAGAGCTGCTCACAACAGGTGACAGCAGCCGGGGGCATCGCACCCGTGGGGGATTCAACACCCACACTTTTCCAGCTGTTTTGCTCACCTCCACACCAGTCTGGTTTCTTTCCGTCGCACTCTCTCTGTTTGCCTCATCTCCTTCTTCCCCTCCCGCTTCTGACAGCCAATGTCGGGTTTCCAGGAGAGGGAGGGACGGAAGAGCTCGACTGAATTCATAATTTACATCTTGACATTAGCTGTACAAAGTCTGAGTTTGATAAAGTGAAGAACAACCATTTGCAGAGGTTTATAACAGGCGCGGTGCCAGGTTTTCATTTTTGCGTGGGCCACGGTAATTTTGGACGGACCTTAATAAGCAGTGACTTAAGTGAAGCAGGCAGGTCGCGCTAGAAAATTTCGTTTAAAAAGACGTCATAAATGTGTTCCCCGTCATTTTTATTTATAAAATATGAAGTAAAAACTCCCAATTTAATTTTCATTCATTTCTCATTAATATGTAGTCTACACCAGTGCGTTAAGTGGACCATCTTCCAGTAAACGCAAAGCATCCGGCCCATCTCTCCAAATGCGTAAAATGTGTATCAGCCGCTAGTTAGGCGCGCCGCGCGCACCGTCAGCTATCGGCCCAGACAAGAGCAGAGCAAATAGAGAAAGAATAAGGATAATTGTGTCTGGATGTGGATGGAGATTACATTTTACAGCAGCCTGATCATCATTCAAACACTTAAACCATCACCTGTCTTCTAGTCCACGCTATCAGCATTATTTTAATTGGTGTGTGTGTGTGTGTGTGTGTGTGTTTTCCACTTCAAACACTGGTCTAACCAACCAGACCAGCGTGTCCAGTAACACATTAATGTTACAATTAAACCTGATTAACCCCAGAGCCATGAGCACTGCGCTGTACGTCGTGACTGTAAATGAGGGGAAATGATTTAATCGGATCCTTTTCTTTTCAACATGGTTTCATGTAAAGTTTCATTCAGTACAAACTTTAGTTACACCAATCTAACGAGACAGAGCCTGGATTTGTATTCTGAACAGTTTAAACATGTTTAAAACGGAGACATGCGTGACGCGTCTAAAATTCGCACCTGCTCCGCTAATATGGAAATTAAACTAACAAGATGAATAACATGAACTTATTATAGGCACAGACAACATCCCCCACACTTTTGAAAAGCTTGCAACGCGCCTGATCGCTCATGTACGTCAAAGTTATCTTTCATTAGACGATAATCAATAAAATGATTTATATAAAGTGGATTCAGAAGTTGTAGCCCGTCTCTGCCTTCAATTTTTGGTATTTTTCACCCTGTTGGTGGTTTTACTGAGCAGGTGCCCCTTTTGTCATACGTTTCTTTTTAAAACATGTTTAGACTGTTCAGAATACAAATCCAGGCTCTGTCACGTTTGATTGTTGTAATTAAACTTTGTAGGTGGGGAAGGTCAGAAAGCAGCTCAGAAGCGCATGATTACGCACAAGCGTGAGGCGTCAACCCGGTCTCACAGTAAGACCGGGTTGGACCTGTTCAGGTTTAAGCAGACAATCTTTACATGTAGAATTGGCTTACAGATGTAAAATTAATGCAGTAAAATATAAAGCTTTTTATTTAAATATCCATTCATTATTTTACAAGCAAGAGCCGCATGCGGCTCCAGAGCCGCGGATTGCCGACCCCTGTGCTAGCCTACTTTATTGTCCCCAGCAATTTTTAAACACCACTCAAGTGTATGGTTATTGTCCCCAGCAATTCTGAAAACAAACTGACGCCCTTGAGCAGGAGTTAGAGTAATCCAGCCTTGAAGTGATGAAAGTGTGGACCACCGATTTCAGAAGACGTACACTCAGGATGTGCTTTAGTTTCGAGATGCGTCTTAGTTGGTAAAAACATGATTTAACTGTGTTATTGACCTGGGCATCCATCTTCAGAGCCTGGTCCATTTTTACTCCAAGGTTGGAGATTACAGAGGATACATTAGGTGAGAGATAGGTTGAGGTCAGGTTGATGAGTCGCCGTGGTACTGTTAGGACTGAAAACGATTAAGTCAGTTTTGGAGTCATTGAGATGGAGGAAGTTATCAGCTAGCCATTGCTTGACCTCAAGGATACAATCAGACAGGACTTTCATTGATTGAGTTGGCTTAAATGAAAAATAGATTTGACAGTCGTCAGCGTAAAGATGGTATGAGACAGCGTGCTTTCTGAAAATGGCTCCTAAGGGCAGTATATACAAGTTGAACAGTAACGGGCCGAGAATTGAACCTTGTGGGACACCCCAACGTAGAGGCTGTGACTCTGATGAACAGCCATCCAACATGACCCTAGCAGACCTGTTACAAACGTATGACCTAAACCAATCCAGGGCTGTGCCTGAAATGCCAGCCCAAGTGTGAAGTCTTGTGATCAAAATGTCATGATCGATCGTGTGGAATGCTGCAGATAGATCCAAAAGTACCAGAACCACATGGAAACCTGAATCTAAAGCCAGAAAAGTGTCATTAAACACCCGAACATGAGCAGTTTCAGTGCTGTGCTGTTGTCTAAAACCAGACTGACAGGTGTCCATTACCTGAAATTCATTTAGATGTTTCATCAACTGTTCATAGACTATTTTCTCAAGGACCTTAGATAAAAACGGTAGTTTGGAAATTGGTCGTAGATTAGAGTAATCGGTGGGATCAAGGCCGGGTTTTTTCAGGATTGGTTGTAGAACCGCGAGTTTAAAGGCACGAGGAACTTCAGCCAATGTCAAGCTACTATTTATAATGCCTAGCACGCTATTGCTAATTAAAGGAAACGCCTCTTTCAGGAGACGAGGTGGGATAACATCATCTGGGGAGCCAGAGGGTTTCATGGCTGCAACAGTTTTTTCTAGACAGGCCAAAGAGATGGGCTGAAAGCTTTGAAGTTGCACATAAGAGGGGATGAATGAATATGGAACATGGTTGGTTTGGTGAATCTGAGCTCTGATTTACAGTAATCTTATTTAAGAAAAACTGCAGGATTTGGCTACACAAGTCAGCGGACACAGAGGAAAATAGATTTTGAACTGGGGAAAGCACTGCATTTATGGTTTTATATAACTCACCTTGATTATTTGAATTAGCCGTGACAATGCTGGCAAAAAATCGATTTCTCGCGCCTCTGACTGCTCTTTGGTACTGAGACCAAGCCTCTCTCATGGCCTCAAAGGATACAGTAAGCCTGTCTTTTATCCATTTACGTTCCAGTCTCCTGCAATTTCGTCTCAAGGAACGAGTTTGTTCGTTCAGCCATGGGTCTGACTTGGATTTCTTTCGACTTGATTTTAATGGAGCGACAATATCCGTAGCAGCCAGGCAGGATGAATCAAGCACATGAAGTGATCCCTCAACTACAGAAGACGCAATAGTAGAATCATATGGAGCTGCGTTCAGAGTAAGAACAGCGGCAAAATCTGCAGCAGTATTGGGTGTGATTACACGAGAGAAGCTGGGACGGAAATATTCAATACGAGGGGCATAGTCGAATTTCAAGTTAAGCAAAACTGGTGAGTGGTCTGAAAAAGTCGCAGGTAAAATGCCAAGATCACTAATTTCCAGCTCATGACAGAAAACCAGGTCAAGTGTGTGTGTATGTCCATGTGTGGGGCCACTAACATGTTGGGACAAGTTAAAAGAGTCGATGAGATCTAGGAAATCCCTTACCAAAGGTTTGTCAAGACAGCAGACATGAATATTAAAATCACCAAGCAAGAGTATTTTTCCGTATCTACAGGAGACTTCAGCCAGAAAAGCTGCAAATTCATTTAGAAAATCCTTATTGTAAGGTGGTGGACGGTAAATGAGAGCACATAATAATGTAGGAGAACGACCCAATTCAAATACGCTCAATTCAAAGGACAATGGAGTTGATTGAGGGGTAATCGGTGTGCAGATAAGATCTGATTTAAATATAGTCAAAAGACCTCCGCCCCTGCGATGTGCTCTTGGAATGTTAATGAAGGAGCATCCAGGAGGTAACAGTTCAACTATTGAGGCCGAATCCCCAGGGGTAATCCATGATTCAGTGGCGCATAAAACATCCAGGCTATTGTTCTGGAAGAATTCCTTTAAAATAAAAGTTTTATTTCCAACCGATCTGGCGTTGATCAGCGCACGGCGGTGGAAAAGGGGGTCCTGCAGTAGAATACTGGAGGTTGTCCATTCTAGACCGGATCGAGAGCAGGAAGTCCCGATCATACGCCAGCAGAGAATCAACACTATATATCGAACAAACCATAAAATAGAAAAGAAAAACCATAGAATAGAAAAGAAAAACAAAAAAGGTCGGGAGCCGAGCAGACACGCAGCCGACCAAGGGTGCCATCTTGCAATTCCTGTTGTAGGGCTGTCATGGTTGACACGTCTCTGCAACATTTCGTGGTCATCGGGGGCAGTTCCTGTGGAGTGGCAGACCGGGGTGGTGGTCCCCATCTTTAAGAAGGGTGACCTGAGGGTGTGTTCCAACTATAGGGGGATCACACTCCTCGGCCTCCCTGGAAAGGTCTACTCCAAGGTACTGGAGAGGAGGGTCCGATCGATAGTTGAATCTCAGACTTCAAATAGTTTTTGTCTTTTTAGGACTCGGGTAGCTTGTCCTAAAGTTGAAGTGTTAAATACGCGAGTGTGTAATGTAGGGCGACCCAGGTGCGGTGGTTTGGCGAGACAACGGAATGGGCCAATGGTCGCTTTGGTCCAAAAGGCGTTTTTGGCTGAGGGTTTTAGACAAATGCGAGAAAACCACTTTTAAAAAAAAATCTCCTCACAAACAGGTGCTGATCATAAACATAAAATATCATGAAAAAGTTGTTTTATTTCAGTAATTCCATTCAAAAAGCATATACTATGTTAGAACGTTGTTAAGGGGCATGAAACATGTTTTAAGCTAACTTGTTCATAAATGTGCTCTTTTATTCATCTTGATTTCTTCTCCCTCCTTCCAGAATCATTTCACTCATTGAAATGAACATTTCCTTTATTTGTAAGGACTTCTCAAACTAAAACTATGTGTTTGACATTTTATTGCTAATAAGATTCTGATTCGTAGCTGATAAAGTGAGGCTCTGTTTGCTGACCTTGCTGTGAGCGTACACCACAGAGCCCAGCAGCTTCCACGTCCCTCCCCTCCGGTCCATCCGAACCATCCGGAGAATCTGCAGGAAGCGGAGGCTCCGCAGCACAGAGGTGGCGAAGATGTTCCCCTGGCTGCCGGCCGAAACCACCGCCACGGATGCAATCAGAACTATGATGTCTGCGAAATAAATACATGTGAAGAAGAGAAAGATGAGGACATCTGCTTTTATCGTCCTATTCCTGGTTTGTTGTACAAAAAAAATCTGTATTTACAAATAAAATACAAACAAATGGATCAAATAATAAACCACCTTCTCAGATAACTGGCCTTAAATGGAGGGGTCAGGATGATATCTTCCCTGTTAGCTCTTTGAACAACCTCAGTATGTAGAAACAGTGATTGGTTCTGGTCAGATAGATGAGCTAACGGCTTGGCTTTTTCAGTTACAAAGGATTCCTGTTCTAGGTCGACCGATAATGGTTTTGCTATTGCCGATACAGATGCTGGGGGTTTAGGGGGGTTGGAGAAGGAATACGAAAGAAAGTATAAGAGTATAGATTTATAGATGTTTTGGGATCGGTTTTATTTTACGTATACAGAAACACGATAAACATGTTATCTTGTCACCGTGTGTGGAGAAAAAAGTAGAAATAAAAATAAACAAAATAAAATAGCTGGGCAACTGTGCTGACGCATGCACTGTGTGAGCAGTTCTGGTACATTTGGGTCAGAGCGCTGCTTCAACAGTACGATAACCGCAAGAGGGACGAGCTAACCATGCTGATCGCGAGGTGTTCATCGCCTCTCGTAACCCTCTGTCACGATGCATGGCACCAAACTTGCCCCGACCTCAAAGATTCTCACATGAGAGGCAAATCGGCTCAAAACGGTCCAAAGATCACCCGGCTTAAGTCACTCTCTGGGGGGGGGGGGGGGGGGGGGAAGCTCCAGTGCGCCTGGAGGTAAAGTACTTGTAAGTCGCTTTGGACAAAAGCATCTGCTAAATACATAAACGTAACATAAACATAAATAAGCTGGAAGAGAAAGCAGCAGGATTTGAAGTCTAATTTTTTGATATTTGGACATCTTGCTTCTCATTGGCTGACAGCAATGTGACCACTGACTCTGTTTTCTTTGCATCATTAATGTTTTATCGCCACAAATATCACAAGCCTGGAGGAGTTCTGCTGTGTGGTGGAGTTGCCAATACTATTGGTTAGCTTCTGCTAGCTGAGACGTTCTCCGTTTCCTGGAAGCTTGACCAAAAACAGCCGCCCTTGTCGCGAGCTGGGAGAGTTCATGAATCCATCAGGCTTTCTGAACCAAGTGTTTTCCGTCGATCAGAAGCTAAGGCGGGAGATGGGGTAGAAGAATGTTTTCACGGTCATTCTGCATGTTAAACTCAGAGCGACCGTGTATTGCTGCGTTTTAATCCTTCATGACCTTCATTTTTCTGTTCTTCTCCCCTTTCACTCAGGACTTTGGTCAGGACTTTACTCTCTACCTACTTTGTCTAAATCAGTTTTCCTTACTGGATGCAGCAACTGACTAGAAGCTTCCAAGGTTCTCCTGAGTCCGTGAGGAGATTTCTCACGTAGAAACTTCACATGCTGACATTTCACAGACTCCATGAATTTCTTCTCAAAAGTAAAGTAACAGGATAAACCACAGTGAACAGATGAAAAGTAAAGCCAGGATCAAAATCAGAAATTGGTGCCGTGCAAATGCAAAAGCAGAGAAGCACAGAAGACATCTCCAACAGGATTCCTTTCCATTCAGTGGGAGGAGGTGATTCATCCATCTCTGGATACAAATCTCACAAATCAAGACAGAAAATTGCAAACCGCTGGATTCTGTTTGACTGTCAGGAGAACAAAAGCAGGTGAAAAGTGTGAGAGATTTTTCATGAGCCAGACGAGCCCACGCACTTAGGGGCAGGGATCCTTTCTGCTCAGTGAACTTTTTTTTGAACGAGTTTGCGTGAAAACACGTCGGCAGCTTTTAGCAGCTCGTTGCTTCGCAGATTTGATCAGAAAAACAGATTTATGATTTTGATGATTCTGACTCTGACCTGCTGAAGGCCTCAGAGAGCGTCGTCCTTCAGTTTTACTTTGTTTATATGATCAGCAAAAACTCCAGAACTTTTATGTAGAACAGAAATGTCTGCATCGTGTACAAAGAAGTCTTTATTGGCATGTTGGCGGAAACATTTAACAAGAACATCAAACTTTTATTTATTTTTTTACTAAGTCATGTCCGGCTGTGAGGCAATCAAAATTAATGTCTGAACCACAGCCACCACACAGCTGATGTGTTGAAAATGCCCCAGTTCATCCTTGTGAGAGCACCATGTGAGCACCTGAGTGCACATGCGCTTGTACATGTCAGATTTCTCTATAGGACTGTCCAATAGGGAGTGTGAGGTGGCGCAGACCTGCCCCCAAAGATGGAGGAGTTCCAAGCCCAAGCCAAAGATGTTCAGATAAGAAAAACAGGCCTTGGATGAAGATTCTTGTTTTTGTTTTGGTCAATTATCACCAAAGGAGGCACATTTCTACATCACAAGTTTTGCCAAATAAACTAATATATCTCAAAAACGTTACCTCAGATCAGTCATATTTAGACATTTTGAGAGAGATGAGAAGTAGCTGAAGAGTTTGATGTAGAATATGTGTATGGCATGTAAATGTGTCATTAAAAGACTGAAAACCAACACCTGTCATGTCCTGTCCATGTCCCCCCCGTCCCTGCCATACCCTCTCCATTGTCTCCGGTCCCCTCAGTCTTCACTCAGGTTTCTCGCTCCATTTCCTATTCCCCAGCCACTTAGCGTTATTTTATTTCTCTTTAGTTTTCCTCTTATCTTTGTTTAGACTTACTGTCAAGCCCCTGGGTGTTTCTCAATGCCAAGGAACCTCGCCTTGATGTCTTGGTCACGCCCTGGTTGCCTAGGAGATACGTCATCAGGAACCACCAAGGCATGTTTATGTTCTACCGAGGCGCGTGTTCTCTGTTTGTTAGCCGTTTGGCTAGCTGGACAAGGATACGCGGGAGGTGCCTTGTAGCCTAGCCTTGGTCAAAGTTTTCCCAGAATCCCTGGGTTTGAGCACGTCAGGATTAAACAGCTGCTAAATCAGTTTTCTAGATGATGAGATCACCTGCTCATCACCACCTCACACCCCTATCACCTTTTCTTTTGAGTTCTTTCTTCTTTTTCAACCTGTATCTGTATTTTCCTTTCCTCTTTACCTGCTTCTGTACCTTTACACCTGTACGGCACAACCACACAACTTTCCAACACTGCGTCAGACTCGGCACACACACACACACACACACACACACACACGCACGCACGCACGCACGCACGCACGCACGCACACACACACACACACACACAAATATATATATTAAATCCACAGCACAATATCATAATTTATGAGTCAAATAATACAACCACAAACACTGTTGGATCTTTATGATTATTATTATTATTATTATTATTATTATTTACTTTTCTGTTATTTATTAACATATTATTTTAAAGACAATGCCTGCGCTGCCCGCTCACCACAGCCATGGAATACACCTCATAAACACACAACACTATATTGGAGCAGGCGGAGGGAGACTAGGGGTCTTGGCCACCTCTGTTGTTGCTTGGCTTCCTGGGGCTGGAGGCTAGGAGGGAGATCTGGCCGTCTGGTTGGGGTCTGGGGTGGTGGGTTGCTGTGCTCAGCGTTGGGCGGGGGAGCCTGCTCATCAGCACCCCAGCAGAAAGGGTCAAACTCTGGTAACTGGTGATGGTTGTACCCCATGTGCAGCAGTACCGGGACCAGAGTGAATAGGGTGTGTATGGGGAGCATGAGTGGGTGTCGGGCGTGCATTTTTGTAAGTCTTTGGTTGTATGTGTATGTGTGAGCATGAGGGAGGGAGTGTGTGACTGTGTTTGTGTATGACTGTATATGTCAGGTGGGGCCTTTGGGTCCTCCCTTCTCCTGGGACTTCTTTTGATGATATAGATCTTCGTCCCCCCTCCCCCTGCCACACCTGGTGTGGAGTGTGGTGCCTTGGTCGGCCTGAGTGTTCGTGGCTCCTGGGTCAGGGGGTTTAAGATTTTTGGCATCTGCCTGATCAATCCCGGTGGCTGCCTGGTGGGGTCTGGGTCCCTGGGCTCTGCTGGGTCCCCAGGGGGAGGTCGCCCCTGGGTCCCGGGCTCGGCCGGCTAGGGGGTGGGAGGCTGCGGGCGGGCGTGAGCGCTTGCCGCTGATATCTCCCGGGACTCTGCCGGCTGCTGGTTGTGGCCCCCCGGGGTGATCCTCTGTGCCTCTCGAGGGGGCGGGGGCTTTCTGGTTGCAGTCTCCTTGGGGTTCCTGCGTTCTGGGGCAGCGCCTGGATCTCTGGGACTTGGAGCTCCCCCCGTCTCCTGCGCATCTTTGGGGGGCGGATCTGTGGTCCCTCACACTCTCTGTTGGACGCTCCTATAGAGAACCTTACATAAACAAGCGCGTGTACACACACAGGTGCTCACATGGTGCTCTCAAAAATATGGGCTTGGGCACGTTCTTTTTTTTTATTTATTTTTTATTTTTTAACGTGTCCTGTCTGGCTGTGAAGCAAGCAGAATTGATGTCTGAATGCTGGTGACAAGCCTTACAGATTTACTCTCAGGTGGAGCATCAAAGCGTCTGCTTTTAATGTCACGCCTGATACTTAAAACTTTATTGTTATTGTTTTTGAATGCTTTGTAATTCCGACCAGACACGGAGACAGAGGTGAAAGAGAAAGGAAAAGAAAAGGTGGGGAGAGAGAGAGAGAGAGAGAGAGGGGGGGGGGGGGGGTCCACAAAAACAAACAAAAATGAACAAGAGTCTGCTTCTAGACCTGCAGAAAAAAAAGACAAAAAAAAACAAAGGGACACAAAAAAGGGACACAACATCAATACAACAAGATCTACCTATCACTGCGTCAACTTGATGAAAAGAAAAAATAAAATATATATATATAATCAATATTGCTTAAATGAAGAATCACGATAATAAATCACAACGCATTAAGTGCCCACCATAGTCTTAAGACCTGTGTTGAACGTGCCCAAGCCCATACTTTTGAGAGCACCATGTGAGCACCTGTGTGTGTACACGCGCTTGTTTATTTAAGGTTTCTCTATAGGAGCGTCCAACAGAGAGTGTGAGGGACCACAGATCCGCCCCCCAAAGATGCGCAGGAGACGGGGGGAGCTCCAAGTCCCAGAGATCCAGGCGCTGCCCCAGAACGCAGGAACCCCAAGGACACTGCAAGCAGGAAGGCCCCTGCCCCCCTCGAGAGGCACAGAGGATCGCCCCGGGGGGCCACAACCAGCAGCCGGCAGAGTCCCTGGAGATATCAGCGGCAAGCCCACAGGCCCGCCCGCAGCCTCCCACCCCCTAGCCGGCCGAGCCCGGGACCCAGCGACCCGGGACCCAGCGACCCGGGACCCAGGGGCGACCACCCCCGCCGGGGACCCAGCAGAGCCCAGGGACCCAGACCCCACCAGGCAGCCACCGGGATCTAACAGGCAGATGCCAAAATCTTAAACCCCCAGACCCGGTTGCCACGAACACTCAGGCAGACCAAGGCAAAAGCCCCCACACCAGGTGTGGCAGGGGGAAGGGGGACAGATATCTATATCATCGAGAAGTTCCAGGAGAGGGGTGGACCCAAAGGCCCCACCTGACATATACATTCATACACAAACACAGTCACACACTCCCTCCCTCATGCTCACACATACACACCCTATTCACTCTGGTCCCGGTACTGCTGCACATGGGGTACAACCATCACCGGTTACCAGAGTTTGACACTTTCTGCTGGGGTGCTGATGAGCAGGCTCCCCCGCCCAACGCTGAGCACAGCAACCCACCACCCCAGACCCCAACCAGACGGCCAGATCTCCCTCCTAGCCTCCAGCCCCAGGAGGCCTAGCAACAACAGAGGTGGCTAAGACCCCTAGTCTCCCTCCGCCTGCTCCAATATAGTGTTGTGTGATCATGGGGTGTATTCCATGGCTGTGGTGAGTGGGCAGTGCGGGCATCATCCAGCATATGCCAGCTGATGCCACTGCACCACCCCACTTACACCCTCAGCCATCAGTGTCTAAGTGCGGTTTAAAATTGGAAGTGGGCACCGGCACTCGGGAGGAGGCTGAAATATCCCCCTGCCAAATGCCGTTGAATGTGCTCACTCCCAAGACCCTAAGTGTGTGTTTGTGTGGAATGTCGTCAGTGGAAGTGTATAAGGTGCAAATAAAATTGGGGGGCAGGTTTCCACAGGAATGCGGAAATGGGGTCCATACCCGCACTCCCTGACTTGCCCACCCTCCAAGGTCCTATGTGTATGTTTGTGCGATGATGTGAGGGAGCAGGAGGAGAGAAATATGCGGGGATGGGGAGGAATGGCTGGTTGGGCTTAGCCCTCCAGGGAGCCAGCTCCCCTACTGGACCCAATAGGCACCTCTGTTGTCAAACTGCCACCCAGGGCATGGAGACCCCAGCCCATCCTGCCAGGGCCCAAAGCAGCAGCATTACAGAGCCTCACGGAGTCCGAGGGCACCAACCCAGCCCCACCCCAGCAGAATATCTATGCCCACCCCTGCATTTGCACAACTTCCAGAATATATAAGACATGGGACATCCAGGTAAGGTTGGGTCCTCCCCCTCCTGGGCCTCCCCCTCCCCTGTGATGGAACGGCAGAGGAGCCAAGGTCTACCTGAGGCCCCCGAACCCGAGCCAGGCACTGCTGGGTGTCCCTGCCTTCTTCCCGGCAGCAAACATGTCAGGACCCGACCCCCAAGGCCCCGCCCAGATCCCCACACGGGGCCGGCCACCCCCAAACCCCGAGCCCCCAGGCCCCCACCCAGACCCGCCCAGGGGCATTGCAGCCGCCAGGAAGTGACCCATGGCCGCCGCCAAGATCCCCAAGGGGCCCCACTCACAACCGCCAGCAGTCCACCCCCCGAGGCAACCCAAGCACCTCCAGAGGGGGGCAACGGCCCCCCAGTCCCAGACACCCCCAGTGAACCCACCTCCAGGGAACATCCGGATACTCCAAACTCAGACCCCACACCCCCCCACCCACACCATCCCGCAGGACAACATCAACGCGCCCCCACCCTCGCTATGTGATGGAACCGATCAAAGGAGCCCAGAGAGATTGATCTGAAGTGGAAGCAGAGGTTATATCAAGTGTAATATGATCTAACAAAAGATTTCTATACTGGTTAATGCAGAGACTTTCTCTATTTTTCCAATTCAAGAGGATAGTTTTCTTAGCGATGCATATGGCGGTCAGAACCACGTGAACCAAAGATGTTGCAATCGGGACATCGTCCAGGTTTCCCAGTAAACAAAGAGAGGGGGAAGTTGGGATATGACATTTCAGACAATTTGACAGATCCTCACATACTCTACCCCAAAATTCCTGGACAGGTGGACAGGACCACAGTGCATGAATGTAATTGTCAGGAATGTTGTTTGTGCAGTGTGTACAGGTGTCAGACGACACAAACCCCATCCTGAACATCCGATGACCTGTATAGTGTACACTGTGTAGAATTGTGTACTGAATTAATTGTAAATTGGGGTGTCTGATCATTTTAAAAGTTTTTAAACAAGTTTGGGACCAGAAGTCCTGGTCAAAGCTGACTGATAGATCCACCTCCCATTTTTCAATAGGGATTACTATTCTATCGTCTATTTTGGACAGTGTCTTATATACTTTAGACAGTAGTTTGGGGGGTTTGAGATTATAGAAGTCTAATACTCTTGGTGGTGTTTGTAATTCTATTTTATTGAGCTTAAATTTTTGTTTGACTACAGATTTAATTTGGTGATATTCAAAAAGCTATTCTTATCTATTCCAAATTGGGCTTGGGCACGTTCAACACAGGTCTTGACTATGGTGGGCACTTAATGCACTGTGATTTATTATCGTGATTCTTCAGTTAAGCAATGTTGATTACATATTTCTTCATCGGGTTGACACAGTTTTTTTTCTTGTCTCTTTCTGCAGGTCTAGAAGCAGACTCTTGTTCATTATTGTTTATTTTTGTGGAACCCCCCCCCCCCCCCCCCCACACACACACACACCCTTTCCCCCTGTCTCCCCACCTTTTGTCTTTTCCTTTCTCTTTCACCTCTGGCTCCGTGTCTTGTCGGAATTACAAAGCATTCAAAAACAATAATAATAAAGTTTTAAGTATCAGGCGTGACATTAAAAGCAGACGCTTTGATGCTCCACCTGAGAGTAAATCTGTAAGGCTTGTCACCAGCATTCAGACATCAATTCTGCTTGCTTCACAGCCAGACAGGACACGGTAAAAAATAAAAAAACATTCCCAGGACACACCACAGTATTTTCAAAAGGATGGAGGATCAGAAGCCGGCAGCTACTTCTGGTGCAAATTTCAAGTTTAAATGTACGTCAATTAGTTGTAGCTATCGGCCTGATATTTAAAACGTTTTTTTTTCATATCCAAAACAGATATCTGTGGTTGGTTAGGTGATTAGTAGTCGCAGCTTCCGTGGCTAGCAGGTAGTAACCTGCTCACATATTTGATTTTACCAATATATACACTATTTAAAAAGTACATTTATACTGAAACTTATAAAATATAACGTTATTTCCTGTGCCACGTGACGTTACGTAACTGCCGCGGACGCCACAGTCACGCGATGCAAGTCTGTTCCATTTAAATATTAATGCAGATTTTGGCCGGTATTAATGGTAGTTCAATCATATCGGACATCCTTATCTCTCGATTAGGGCAAGCCAGTAGATTTGTTTTGTTTTTCTGTTTTGAGAATGAAATCAAAATGTTGAGACTAAAATTTAATAAAGTTTAAATACAAAACCAAAAAAAGCCAAAATGGTGATCAAAATCTAAACCAGTGCTATAAGAAAATATGATATCCCTAAAGCCTTATGTTAATAATAAACTGGGGTGATTTTAAACTTCAATGAATCTGAATTGAACTATTTTCATTAATTTCTTATAATCAAAGGACTCTTATTTTGAAGGACCGAATGTATTTTATTTAGGAAAACCTAAGATAAAATATTAAAATACAACATTTGGATCTCAATTTCAAAACTGGAAAACTAAAACAAAAGCAAAACCAAGTTTTGTCTTTCTTCTAAGGGTGAAACTCACCTATGACACAGAATGGCTTCCTGGCGAACCGCAGTCGGCCCTGCCATCCTCGGTAACGGCAGCAGCATCCGGCTGACCAGATACGGATGATGAACTCCAACCCAAACACCACGATCATCACAAACTCCTGCAGGAAAACACAAAAAGCTGCTGATGGCAATCAGAGTGGTGGCGAATCCCAAACCAGACCGGACCGAAGTCGGAAGCAATCAGGAAAAATCAGGAAGCGTTATAGCTGGTTTGGATATTATTAAGTCTAGACCAATATTTGTGCACTTTGAAAATTATAAAATCATTGCGTAACATTAGCATTTTTTTTCCAACTTTGAAGAAAAAAAATGTTTCAGATGTCTGCAGTTGATTTAAATGTTCATGTTTAAGATCATCAATGATAGCAGCATTTTATTACATTACAAACATTGGATGTCAGGTCATGAGGCAACTAAAACAGAATTATTATAATGTTTATTATTATTATTATTATTATTGTTATTATTATTATTATTATTGTTATATTTATACACAGAATTTCTCTTCTAAACTCAATTTTAATTGAATGTCAAATTGAAATTGACTTGGTGAGTAACATATCCCTCCAAAAACTTTTTTAAAAGCTTTTGGAGGGATAAATATGTTTTCTACAAAGCTTATAGATTCCCACCTCCCAAAAACCCAGAGCTCCTCTGATTGGTCAGCTTCCTTCGTCTGATCAGGCTCCTCCCACAAATAAATTTGAGTTGCTTGAATTTGAAAAATGAGAAATATTCTTTGATAAATTTCCAAACAAGGGATTAAAAAGTTAGTTTTTAAAATGAACCATTGGTAACAAATTGTAACAAACGACACTTTTAAAAAAGCTTTTAAAATGTCTCAAAATGTTTAGCCTGGCCTGCCAGACTCCTCCTCTGTTTAATTCTGCACAGAGAAAGGCTCTGGGAACTCTCCTATTCAAATAACCCCGCCCCCTGAGAATTCTAACCGAGCCAATCAGCGCTGAGTAGCGTACGTCACACACCATAACGCCGAGTTTGTCATTAACATGGCGACTGAAGCAGAGTTCGCTGCGACTCTTCCCTCTGTTCTAAATGACTTCAATGTCTTTAAACCACAACAAGTAGAAGCGCTAAACGTCTTTCTTCTAAAGAAAGATGTTTGCACCGCTGCCAGACGCCTTTTTTTAAAACTACAGCTAAAAAACGACAGCATCGCGCGGTACAGTCAGCATTTCCGTCTTTTTTGTGATTGGTTATTTTTGAGCTGCCTAGTCCCGCCCCTCATGAACCTCTCTGCCTGTGAGTTACCAGACTCTTTCTCTGTGCAGAGTTAAA